AATTGATATCTATTTTAATGAATTTGGCAAATTATTTTATAATTGAAAAAAAATTTGAGTGAAGGTACATAGTACTTTCTCCAATATTAGAAAGAAAAATATAATCGTACATTTCGGAGTGTGGACAATTTCCTGTAGATGATTTTTTTTTATTGAATGTAGATTTAATTGAGACAATTGTATTTTTATGCTGCATTTTTAAAACATGAGTGTATGTGAATAAATGCGTTTTCATATTAAAGGATACTAATGTATTTGTTAAGAACTTCTCCCAAATAAATAATCGTTATATATATATAATTTTGTTAAGTCGTCTTTAATCACCACAATATTGTAATATCGTGATATGATAGTTTAATAATTAATTTATATACCGAGAGATGAAATCCAGAATGAATTAATCTGTACTTAGAAGGGACACGATAACCTGACTGATAACAATTACAAAAGATGAGGAAAAACGAAGATGAAGAGAGAGAGTAAACTATATATTTCAGACAACCTTCTAACAACCCGCCTTACTTCCTGCGCGCGCACTCGCTGGCGTACAAGTTGTTGATCTGGTTGGCGTCACTCTGCTCCATGTGGTCCTTGTCGTATGCCTCTACGAGAATCACGTTGGGGTCCGTGGGCACGATGGTTTCGGCGACGCCCCAGTTCACGGAGAATGCGTAAGTGCCGTAGTGCATGATGCTGGCGTAGTTGTAGTCTTCGCCGACGTAGCGCCAGTACGTGTCCTTGTCGAAGGCGTAGGCATATCCTGGCGATGAATGGGATACTTGTTGGTATCGTACGATTTATAAATCGACTTCAAAAATGAGACTGATAGTCGGTCGAAAGTCATGAATTGTTTAGAAGAAATAAGAAGAGACCAAACTTCACAGAAGAGGCCCAAAACTCAGTATGTTTGGAGACGACCCTGTACTGTTTTCGTTGAGCATTTCATTGTGCTACATATCAAACAATGATACACAGTAATTGGTAATAACAGTATTAAGATTAAAAAATCTTTCTAACAGCATATCAAACTGAAGCGCCTCTCTTACAATCAGCCATACTAACTTTAATGAATTATAGATTAACAGTAAGACATGCAATTGCCAAACACTCACCTTCTTAAAATATATGTCGATGCTGAGACTGACCAAAAGCGTCTCGCCTTTCGTTATTCACTTCCTTAACTTGAAACGCGTGTAATTTCAGAAAGTGACCGGATTAATACTGGCGGCTGCACGGAATTAACCCACGCATATTTATCTCTATATACACACAAACTGCACTGCACAAACCAGGGTATGCGATGCACTTGCGTATTTTAAATGAGAATGGCTTAAGACTAGGCGGAAGAGCCATGAAAACTTTATAACTTTACAACCAGAAGCCTTAAAAAATAGTCAGAACTTCGAGGTCTCCTCTACCTTTTTCAAACCAAGATTTATATTGCCCTTCCTGACCTCACCTTCTTGAACATTCTCGTAGTGGATTGTGACGTAATCATCACGGTCGTTGCGGCAGTGCTCGTGGTAGAAGCCAATGGCGTGCATGAGCTCGTGGATGACCGTGCCCTTGTAGATGCAGCCGTAGGTGTCCAGGGAAAGCCTTTGCATGCCTCCGATGGTGCCCACGTATGACCAACACCTGGGCACATTGGTCATATATGAATACATTTGTTAGACGGAAGTGACGCGTCATAATTGGCTGATATAAATACATGATTCGTCCTTTAGATAAATTTTATTGGAAACAGACATAGCTTGCGTTTCCACTGACCCGCTGTCATTGGTGACGATCTCGAGGTAATTTGCTTCGGTGGTTCGCTCCACGAAGCGGATGCAGGTTCGGTCGTGGAAGTCTGACATCCCCGCCAGGATCACGCTCTTCTGGTTGGAATCTAAGGCAGGTAAAAATGATAGTTACATATATATATATATATATATATATATATATATATATATATATGTATATGTATATACACACACACATATGTATATGTGTGTGTGTGTGTGTGTATGTGTGTGTGTGTGTGTGTGCGTGCGTGTGTGTGTGTGTGTGTGTGTGTGTGTGTGTGTGTGTGTGTGTGTGTGTGTGTGTGTGTGTGTGTGTGTGTGTGTGTGTGTATGTGTGTGTGTGTGTGCGTCTTTATATATGTAATATATATATATATACATCACATATATATAAACATATATATATATACATATACATATAAATGTATACATTACATATATATATATATATATATATATATATATATATATATATATATATTGCATATATATATATATATATATATATATATATATATATATATATAAACACACACGCACATACACACGCACGCACGCTCACGGACACGCACGCACATACACGCACACACACGCACATACACGCACACACACAAATGTATGGATGTGTGTATATATATATGTACGTATATAACTATTATATATATCTTTATATATATGCATAAATGCATTATATGTCTGGTTATATATGTATG